CTTTGCCTTTCTGAAAATTTTGCAGAAGAGCAGTTCAAAAATAAGCATAACACAGCTGCAGCAATGTTTCGAAGTTGCCATTTAAAATATGAAAGCAAAAAAAATTCTGCTAATTCTAATTTTTCTACGAAAATGCTAACTCAAATTTTAGCAAATCAAGTTTTTGTAAGCAAAAATGGAAAAATTTTTTGGTAAAAAAGCAAAAGATCAGTTTTTCGAATCGTTTTGCAGTTGATCTACTCATTTTTAAAATAAATAATTCGCTGAATAAAAAAAGTCACATCAGTTACGATAAAAAAAAATAAATCTAAGTTAAAAAGAAAAAATTTCAAGAGATGAAAAAAAATTTACACAACAGAAATGATACAATTCAGGAGGGTGAGAAGCGGGAGAGGGATGTGAGAAGAGAAAAGGTGAGGAGGAGGCAAAGAATTTGGTACATAAAGTAAAGACAATAAATCGAATTAAACATGAAATAGATAACTGAAAAACTTGACATTTTTAAAGAAGATGGATAAGCAAAGACAACTGGGATGAAAACTTTACCCAGGGTTTAACTGAGTTTAACAAATCAAAGCATTTCAGCATGAAAAAGCCTAACCTGAAGGTCGTTGAGAACAGTGTCAGCTGTGGATAATTGATGTTGGAATGGGGGACCGATTGTGCAGAAATTCGTCGTAATACTTTCGCTCACATGTGGCACGATAGATGCTTTTTTGACGATAGAAATAGCTAAAGAATAACGTCAACATCATTTCTCCTTCCTACCGTTATTCCCATTTCTCTATCATTTCATTTCTACTTGTCCATCTCGATTTTCTCGCCATCTGAAACCAATCAATCAGTAAATTTGCACGGCCATCAATGGCTCACAGTCAGAACGAAAAGTTATTCCCCTTCCTCAAATTTCTTATTAGGAGTGTGATGAACAGGCATTTGGTGAATAAGTCACTAACAAATAGTATTCGTGAACAGTGGAGGATTAGTGGATTAACAGCTAATGCGAATAATGATGGCCACTGACCAGCGCCCTGTCTTTCCAGTAAATAACTTGTAAGCGAGTTCAGGCATAATAACTTAGAGAACAAAAGGTCGAATCCCTCGCAGGCAAATGATATTTATAGTTTTTCAGCGAATGACAGAATTTTTTTGTAAATTCATCGTCTATTGTTTCATCAGAGATGTTTATAAGGCGCAATTTTAAGTGATTCCAGCTTTTCGAGTTTATCTTAATCTAAGTTGGTTAATAGGTGTCTAATTTGTGGATTTATAAATCATGCGGTTAAGTATGAAATGCAGGAGATGTGCGAATGCCACTTTTTCTTTTACAGCTCTCACCATTACTGGTTACACTGACTGCTGTCGCTACAAGGGTTTCCAAAGAGTTTCCAAGACGATCGATCCAGTGCCAAGCAGTAGAAGCCTTTCCTTATTCCATCGTTCAAGCCAGTCTATCGCTAAGTCACCTTAGCGTTCAAAATCCTTTCTGTGATACGACTATTATTTGAAACGTAATAATTTCTTAAACTTAATTCATTGGGAACATCTTATTTTTTCAACATCCAGTTGGCAGCCAACCGCTAAAAATCGTGCTAACGATAAAAATGAAAATTTTCAGTTTAATAGCGATAAAATTTTTTTCAATTTCTCGAACTTAATTCACGGAGAGTTATATAACACTGAACAGAATAAACTTTCAGCGAAGGTCTTTTTCCTTTATATTCTCGCAACAAGCTAAGGTCGATTAGCTGCAGCTTAATACCATTTTTGGTCATTCCACTGGCTACTAGAGGCAGCCAGAAATTTCCATCGAAGAGTCACTTGAGGACGGACGAGCTTCACCAGCTTTACGACAGATGGAAATAGAAGCCGAACCATAGAAGTGATAGCACCGAATGCACCGAAAAAAATTGGTTTTTTCCTAAAATTGCTATAATTCTGAGCGAAAAGCTGAAGTTTATTGAATGGTTCGTCTTCTTTAAGATAATTTTACTTATAATTAGGCATTTCAGAAAAGCTTTGATCTTTTTTCAGACGATAAGATTTTGATGAAATTTTGATGGAATCGAGTGAAAATTAATTTATGCTTGATTTGCGATTCAGACAGACATTACAGCGATATCGTACAACAAGCAAACTTTTATGTCGAATCAGATAACTACTATTGATTGCGTTGAAGCCAAAATTCTTTGTGACCAATAGATAGCCAGTCGGCCAGCCGGCCGCTCGTTATTCTCCAACAACTGTATAAATTGCTCAGTCAATTGGTCATCACGATTATTTCGCTATAATCAATAGCTAACTGCTGGTTTGTGTTTTAGATAAAATTCAGCAAATGATTTAACGATGAGCACTCGTATTACGCATGAAAATTTTGGGGAAGGAAAAAATTTGTGGAATGGCGAACGAAGAAAGATTCGCAGCTATTATGATAGATCGTTGCGACATCGGAATTGGAATGCGAAAAAGCTTTTGGACACCACATGTTGACCAGATGATCGATGTTTTCAGATGACCCCACTTCGTTCAGTTATTCATCAATTATTTTTCGTTTCTTTCCTGCAGTGACAAATTATATAATTCAGAGGTGCTTCTCGAACTTACTTTCTTCCTCTCAGCCTTAATTTATAACAAATTCTACTGCACTACACTCAATTCGTTTGGTGCAGAAAGTGCTTTTGCACACTGATTTGCTGTTGAACTATTTCTTACAACGCCTATATATTTTTATCTTAAAAATAAATTACAATATTTTATAGCTTTATAGGTTGTATAAAGCATTCTATCAGAGTTTAAACTTAAAACGCTTTAATGGCCGAGGCAAGGTTGGCCGAGTGGTTTGTAGCTCGAATTATCGCATTAAGAATCACTCAATGATCACTCTAACTTTTGCTTTCAACGGAAATGAACCTATCACTAAAAATTTCGCTTCTTCTAAGTGACCCCCTGGCAAAAATTTCTCATTTTACTAATAACCAGCGGCACAAGCCTAACCAGAAATAGGGACCGTTTGCTTATAAAATTAGCAACCACTCGTTACCAATCTAATCGTTTCTAATTTGAGATAACTTTTCAAAATTATTATCAAATTGAAGATGAAGTGGATAAAGAGTTTAAATTGGTAGATTGTAGAAGGAGAAACAAGTAAAATGAATTTCCTGTAAATATTATGAATTGGGCCTTTAATAGGCATCAACAACAGCAGTACAGCCACGATGAGGATGTCGTCCTTCAACTAGTTCAATGGTGCATTGCTTGGTTGCATTCATGAAATTATTTTCTAATAAATCTCTATCGTCTCTATCGTCTCAATCGTTGGTGTTTTACACCAAAAATTTGTTGATATAAATGCGATATGATAATGACCAAACAAAATGAAAATAAATCATCAAGCAAAAAATGATATTTAAAAAAATCTTTCTTTTTTTTGCGAAAAAATAAATATGTTGACGACGAAAATCTAATCAGCACCGATCGACTCCATCGAATAATCGCTTTTGAGCCGAAAGCCTAAACGATGGGAAAAAATGCCTAAATGCTTTCATTTTTTCTTTTCATAAGGCAAAAAAATTTATTAGATGTTCATATTCATGTTTAATTGCTATTTTAAAAAAAACCACCTCCCGAATGTTGCGGTCACTTCGGTCACTCCACTACTCCGCTCGTCCTGGTTATACCAGTCACCATAGTCATTCCGCTCAGTCCCCTCACATTATGGTAAATATCGAAATGCTATTTAAAACTGATGCCAAGCATTTGCTTCAGATTGAGAAAAAAATTTCTTTCCATTCAGACGTTTTCATTTCTCTAATTTTTCTTCTTTTTTTTAAATATGAAGTGCTTAGTTCGAAATTCGCTTAAATTCGATTGTATTATTTATCCAAATGTCATTTGAAATTCTGTGCTAAACAATTGTGCAAATCTTTTCATAGTAATGTAAATGAAAGTGTGACCGTATGGAAAATGCAAATGAATCAGCCAACCATTTGGGGTTCATACTGTTCCGAAAAAAAATTTCGCTTTTTTTTGTGCATTTGACAATGACAACGAACGAATGCGTTTTAATTGACACTGTGGTATGCAAATCAAGCTGAATCATTTCTCAATCGCAATGAAACTGTTGATCTAATATAAAATACGTTTCCAATTGAAATAATTAGATAAGACAGTTTCACTCGAAAAGCTTGATTTGGATGACAAGAAATCCGATCCCATAAACGCCTTATTTTGGATAAATTAAAAATGTATTTAAAATATTCTTTTACGCATGGAAATTAAATTCATTCTTTTTAACAAAATAAATGCTTTAAAAAAATTCCAACTCTTGAAAGTTAGCAACTTTTTTAAAAGTGAATTTTCAATCTATTTTTTGCAAGAAAATAAAGTGAAGGATTAAAACTGGCAAAATATTCAAAAGAAAAAATGAATATGGAGTTCTACAACAAACAGTCAAGCCCGAACAAATGAACCTAGACCTGGACTTAACTGACCTGACATATGCAAAAATCCATAATAGAAAAACCAATTAAATAATAGAAAAAGCGCAGAACGCTTAACCAGACCGAAAGAAGCAAGCTATCAAACGCCTGCATTATATAAACCTAAATCAAACCAATTGTATTAAGGACTTATGAATGTTTACGGAAGAAAATCTGAAAACAAAGAAAAATTTTATTACATAATGAAATAATCTAAAATTCAATTCAATATCAAAATAGAATTCAAGACAACCGCAGAAAACCGATTTCATAATAACCGATATCTATTACCAACAGCTATAAGCCAAAAGCCTTAAGGCAGAATATCAAAAATTTCTAAGAAATGAAAAAATATTAAAAAATGAAAAAGCAAGAAATTTTGAGACTGCAACGTATTTAAAGATGATTCTGCTAAAAAATGTCATTGGATACTTTAAGTTTGAAAATTTTAACCTATGATCTAATATTTCTTAAGTTTGAAAAAACGATGTTTTGCAAAAAAAACTAAAAAATTCTATACTCCTAAGCTTCATAAAAATTGGCAGTTACTCGACCACCAGATCCTGTCCAATTGGTGTGAACAAAAGTACCCGGATTGGATATCAATTCATATGTATGCGCACCAAAGTAATCACGTTGGGCCTGCAAGTATTGCAAAAAAATTTAAAATTTTTTTTAAAAAAATAGTTCATGATGTATATTATAAATGACAAATTTTTACATTCTCGATATTTTATAAAATCATATTTTTATAAATCAATGAACCAACTTTAGACACTCGCAAACAAAACTCAATTGAGATTAGTTGTTACTATATTTTTGATGAAAAAATCATTAACCTGAATAAGATTAGATGGTAAGCTTTCCTGACGGTAGCCATCAAAAAATGCTAGTGCTGAAGTAATTGCGGGAGTAGGAATACCCAGCATTACTGCTTTTGCACAAGTTACTCGCCATGAGTCCTGAAGAAAGGCATAAAAAAAAAGTGAAAATAATTCTATACAAAAAATTGGTAGAAACGCTAAAACCTCATTCATTCGTAATAAATAATAAACTATTACAATTAATTCCTCCTTAGCATTTATGAATAGAAGATTACTTGGATGATAAAATTTGAATAGCAAAGTTTATCAAATGCAACAAAAAAACTTTAGAAACAGTCATGATGAAAACCGCAATACCTGGCATGACGCGATTGCTTTACAGAAAAATGGATCCAGTAAAAGGTTCTGTGGAGGTGGAACTACGCTGAATGCATTACCAATATTGTTAAGAAAACGCGATCTAATTATACAACCGTTACGCCAAATCATTGCAATTGAAGTATTATTCAAATTCCAATTGTAAAAACGACTTGCCTCATCCAATAACATAAAACCTTGTGCATAGCTTACAATTTTTGAAGCATATAGAGCCTAAAATAAAATATAGAAGAGCGAAAATGTAATTTCATTCCAAATAAGTTACCCTTACAAGCATCTTAATGAATATTCTAAATTGAATATAAATGAATCTTTTAAAGCCAAGTATATTCCCTTAATTGAAGATAGAAAGAAGGAATTTCATGAGCTGACGAAGGTAATGAAAATTCTCGCAAGGCACAAATCGTGTCACTTATCGCAAGAACTGGTGACGAGGTTAATAGTGCCACGAAAAAATTCTAACACTGAAATTTTAATCCGATTCATCAAGCAACGCGAAAAAATTTTTTGCCTATGTTTGTTGGAATGATAAACCTGTTATATTTGCTAGAATAGAACAGTATATATATTTATTTTCAGACTAATTTCCTATATTAGGGGAGAAAAAATAAAAAATTGCGGAGTAAAAATAAAAATACCGCAAAAATTATCCATCTCAAGATAAATTTTGAATAGTCATAAAAGTGCTAGAAAAATATTAAAAAATTTTAACCTTTTTTATATGCTCTATGTAAACTGCTTTATCTTTCTCTTCGATTTTATCCACTATCTTCGGCATGGGTAAAACGTTAGAAGCCAATGTGCGTTCATCCTTCAGTGCAGATAGAAAACGAGCAAAAACTGCTTCAGCTTAACGTAATAGACTGATGAATTTAAACTCAACCCTTCATCACAACAAACTATAAAGAATCAGAAAAATTTTTATTTTCACTTCCTCTTGTTATTTAAATTTATCCAAGACCTAAAGAAGGATATGGATTTTCTAATCATTCTTCACATGAACTTCTATTAATAGTTTACCTATCAGCGTAACTGGAATACCATGGTCTAAAGCTGTGAAACTTGTCCATTTGCCTGTACCTTTCTGAAAATTGGACTGTAGAAAAACAGGTAAAAACCACGCGTATAAAATAGAGAAAAACAATACGTACTTGACCAGCTGTATCTAAAATCTTCGGCAATAATGTTTGGCCATCTAAATCTTTAAAACGAAGAATATCGGCGGTTATTTTAATGAGATAAGAGTCCAATACATCATCATTCCATGAATCAAATATCTGGAAGACAAAATACCATCTCTGATTCCAAGAATTTTCAATACAAGGAATGACAATAAAATTTTTCAAAAATAAAGAAAAAATATTTAAACCTTAAGGCTTTTTTATTTTTAAAAATGAAGCATTAGGAATGGACCGTTAGAATATTAAAGAGATGCAGAAATTAAATATGCACTTACATTAGCCATTTCATCATGATCTAGTCCAACAGCATCTCTCAAAAGATGGTAAGCTTCCGTTATAAGTTGCATATCACCATACTCAATACCATTATGAACCATTTTCACGAAATGACCTGATCCACCTGGTCCCATCTGTCTCAACATAACAAAGTAGCATAAATTATCTTACTCATTATTCAAAACTTTTTTGGAATGTTTATCGTGCTGAACGGCATTTTTTCTGTTTTTTTAGCAAATATAATATAAACCCTCACAATACATTTTACATTTCTGTAAATTTCACACCATGCTGGAAGAAACATAAAACTACTAAATTAAACACTGAAATCGATAAATAAAAGCTCCGTGAAAAAATGTAAGAAACTACCCAGTCACAACACGGTGAATCGCCGACTTTCGCAGATATACTACACAATAGATTTTGTAAAAAAGGCCATGCTTCTTCTGCTCCACCAGGCATTAAAGATGGCCCATGACGGGCACCTTAAAAATGATAAATAGTTTTGATTCCACTAATGTAAAAATTAATAAATGAAATAAAGCAAACTAAAATCAATATTTTATAAATAATATATTAATAACGAATTAATAACGAATCAAGAACAAACCTTCTTCACCGCCACTGATTCCCATACCAACAAAATGTATGCCTTTGGCAGCAAGCTCTTCACATCGACGCTAAACTTTCTCATCAAAAAAACAGCATTTAAAAACACTTACCGCAATCGATGCTAAGACGTAATATGTCATTAATGAGACAATTCGATAGATAAAAAACAAAATAAAGATTTAAAAAAAAATTAATTTCATCCACTTTACTATCACTATATTATGAAAAATTTAAAATATTGACAATGACCTAAGAAAAAAACAGACCAGGCAATGTTTCTCCAATCAAAGTGCGCGGATAAGGAAGAAATAGTAAAATAACTAAAACTAAAGATGCAGGGGAAACATTATCTGATCCTAAAAATCAAATGGTAAAGTTAAAAAATTGTCAAACTTCACCAATGATGCACTATTGGAAGAACGAAGCTCTATTATCATACTTGGTGTACTTCTTCCAGCGGGCAGTGGTATACTTCAGCGTAAATCGACTGATTTCCCCTGCCCACTAAAATAATTCGTACACTACTGGATAGGCACACTTATAAGAAAATAGTATTCTGGCTAAATATCACCGTTATCTCCTTTTTTCCTTTCTTCACTTTACCTTCACTTTAATAACTTCTAAATTCGTCAACAGGTTAGATGCGCTTGCTAGTTCACGAACAATAAATTTTCGCAAAATTTCGATATCCTGCAACCTATTATGCATTGGAAAAAAGCGAATCCTCAAACAAAAAATGCGCTGCATTTTTAGCCTCATTTTGCTGTAGTATCACTAAGCTTTATTTTATAGAAGAAATTTTATTGGTCACAATAATGCGCAAGGACCCACTTATTGAAATCTATAATTTCTATGATAATCTAGGCTAAATAAAATAAAAATGAATAAATAAAAAAACAAACCTCTGTATCCGTATATGAACTATTACCACCGTCAATAATGATATCTCCTTTTTCCAAGTATTTTGCTATAAGACCAATCATGGCATCAACTGCATCGCCTGCTCTTACTAATAAAAGAATACGTCTAGGCCTCGCCAATTTTCTAGAAATTTTTATTAGCCAGAATTTTAAGATAAGCATGAAATTAAAATCTACAAAAAGAAACAATGAATGAAATAAAATCAAGAAAAAATTGAGACATCTTACTTGGCTAATTCCTCGGCTGAAAAAGCTCCAACGATTCTCGTTCCCTTCGCTTCATTGGCTAGAAAATCATGAATTTTTGATACCGTACGATTAAATGCGCAAACCTATAATGTATTTCCAAATTTTTAATCTTTCATATCTTATAATGAAGAGAAAACTAAAACAGATCCAAATCATTTCAGCATATTAAAAATTTTTCATAATGCAAATTACTTGCATCTCTAAATTGTAATATTTCTATTTCTATTTTATTAAATTCTTGAAATTGATAAAATCCTAGTTTTCTTTTCATTTTTCTCTATAATTTTTCGCCGATTCAATTTGGCGAAATATATTTGACCGATTTAGTTTTGGTCAACTAAACAGTAAAATGAATGAATGAATCTTACAAATTAACCGTGCAAAATCGTAAGTATCGAAATAAACTTGCCAATGTCAAGAATATGACAAATATGAAAATTATGGACAAGTCCAGCAATAAATTACCTTAAAGCCTTGTTCATCCATATTGAGGATGATATTCTGTCCCATAACGGCAAGTCCAATAACAGCAATATCAGCGAGTTCACTCATTTCTATCGTTCAGTTTTAATAAATTATTAGTATGTGAAAAAAAAAATTGAAGTGTTCCTGAAAAATGACAGAAAATAGGTAAAAAATGATTCCTTTCTATCAAAAATTAAACAACTGGAATTGAAATATTTGAGCATACGGACCGCTGGTGTGTTATTTCGACTGTCTGGCGAATGGGCATCATTCCGATTATATGACAAACCAGAAATGGTATGTGCTCTTGTAAAAAGACGACACGAAATTCATCATGTCTCATAAAGGCGCTGCTTATTCACCTCATGCCAACTACTCATCCCGTTCATCACCTGCTTACCTCCTTACGTACTATATTTATATAGTACCCGTAGTGAACTTAACCCCAAATCAGTGGTGCCCGCAACCCCTAAAACAATTTTCACTAAATAAATATGTGGACAAATAACCGATAAGCAAAATCGTCTAAGCTCTACACTGACAAATCGACGAATGAGGATTAGATTGTACGAAGAAAAAAAAAAATCGATAAGATACGACGAAAGTTTTTGGCCTAAATTTCTTAAATAATCTAAAAATTAAACTGATAAACGACCTTGTCGCATTTATATTTCGTTTCTTTTTTGCGTTGGATGAACTTTAACCTTTTAAATATTTAATTTTATTTATTTTTAAAGTAATAAATATAATAATGATAATATAATAAATCTAAATCCTTAAATCGGTTTTAAAAAAATAACAATAAATTAATAAATTAATTGTAAAATCATAGCTAACCATCTCAAAACTTATTTGAACAATCAAGTGATAAGTGATAAGGTGATAAGAAGAAAAACATATGAAAAGTGGATGAATTACAACTTCTCCGAGTTATCTAATCTTTGATATTTTTATACAATTGAAATGATTGATGAAGAGAATAACATCTAACTAGCAGACGCAGCTTCTTTTTAAATGATTCGCGTAGGAGTAAGGAAATATTTCTCCGATTTGCTTTAAGGGTTTGGTATAACTTTTATTGGGGGTCAACCAAAAGATTAAAATGCAGGGCCAGATTTATTTTTGCAAGGAAAGAGCAATTTGAGGATGGTGCCACCTGGATGCTATGGTGCTGGACATGGTGCCTTCTGAATGGTGCTATTTATGAAAATCTCAGAGCAAAGCAGCACCATACTGATTATCGATAAAATATAATAATTTAGATTCATTTGCCTTCTAAATTCAAATATTTTCTTCGATACAAAAAGATTTTTAAATTTCACCGTCATAACGGGGAAATATAGCAAAGAAAATTATCAGCAGTTTTGTTAAGAGACCATTTTTCTAAAATATATTTTTAAATGAGCGAATGTTCATGATTTAAATCATTTCAGTTGTAATTAAACCTGTTTCCTCCCTTTTTTTAAATTTTCTTTCTTTTAAATTCAAAAAAAAATTATGGAATTAAGCATAAAATTAATTTTCTCATACGTCAATTCATATTTTTTTCTTAAATGAACTTATAGATTTGCAAAAAAAAATTTTGTAAAAAATTTATGATTTTCCACAACAAAATTTGTCTTTTTAATTTGCTTACACGTATGAGAAAAAATTTTTAAAAATTGTGTAATTAAAATTAAATATATTACAAATATTTTCATAAAAATAATTGAAAAATTCGATTCAAAAATCTATTTTCATGCGAATAATGGAGAATAGAAAAAGTGGGTGAGCAGAGAATTAAAACGAACTGATCATTATTTCAGCAATGAAATATTCTAGCAAGAAAAATTAAGTGGATCAAAAGTGGAATGATGCAATCGTTTACCCGTCTGAAGAGAAAATTTAGATGAGGGAAAATTGTGAACTGACCACTAAAAGATCGTTAGATTATTGCAGGCAGCTGAGTATCAGTTGTTCCAGGTTTCCCTCTTATGTGGGCATTTATGGCTTGATTGATCGCACAGTGAGGTGCTCATTTCGGTAGAGAAGCGACGATAGAAGAGGCACAGATTTTTGGTTCTCCAGCATCCATGCGAGTCTCCTTATTTCTCGATTGTTCTTTTAGGATTATGTTCTATCGGTTTAGCACGTCTTCGAGCCTCGTTATACTTCTGTAAGATTTGCAAAACCCAGCTGCATTTCCCGAATTTCTTCGGCCTACTGGGTATCATTTCTCAGTTCTCAAAATATTGCAGTTGATACAATCCATCCTTTCAGTATTTTTTATTTTTATAGATTGATTTACAAGAAAATACTAGCCATTCTCTTGGCTGAACTTGGCGTTTTCTCGGATTGAAAAACTTTTGTGATCCTCATCTGTTGAGGTTTATCAATCAATTCCTACGTGGGATTCAAAACAATTAGTGGCGGTGATCTTTTAGATTTTTTTCAAAAAATGACTAAGAATTGCATGAATGCATCAATTTTATTTCGAAATCTAATTTTTTTAGCATTTTTCATGGGGTTGGTAAAGGTTATTGACGAAAATGCTTCTCTTTAAATGATAAACAAAATTGGTTCTAACTGCTTTTGAAATTCATGCCTGAGGTGCATACTGGTTTACCTTAGGAGAACAAACGCATTCGCATGGCTCCTATATATATATATAAAATGGAGGCAATGATAAGATTACTTTCAACGAAAAGAATTATTATCAGCGAAAAAAACTATTTGACAAGAAGGAAATTCATATTATTTCTTCAGTGCAGTTGAAAATTTGGTGATAAAATCTATCATCGCTAATGTTGACATAATTCACCACAAATTTTTAGAAAAAACGATTTTAAATAAATTTAGTATTCGATTTCAATTAGTGATTATTTGTTTTAGTATTTATTTAACAAAGAGACGAAGCAAAGCAATGCAGCCTAACTCTTGAATTTCTAACATCAATAATATTAGCAATAGAAGAAGGACCGAAAAAAACAAATTTTCTGGCTAATTCGGTGTTCTGCGCTTTTCCAGCAATAATAGTTCAATAACCGTTTTTTTCACTCGAGCACTATCTGTATTGGCAACTATTACCATCATCATACGCTGATTTTTCGAATTTGACATCACTATTCACTAAACCTTGTAATGGATGTTAGAAACAATGAGGGCTAATCCAGAATGAAACAGTCTGGAGAGCTTTTGCACGGATAGAAAGCTCAGCGATATGCGGACTTAGACGATGTGAAGAGGAATGGGTTTTATTGCTCACAGATAGCGATATTGCTGAGGAAGCACGTCATGCCTGCAGCCAGCTGACCAGCTTAGCCAGTAATGGCGATCTAATAGAGGAAAGAAGAAAAAAAGCCTCACTTTCGATCCTATTCTATAGCCTTTATAGTGGAACAATTATATAATGTTGTCAACAGTACTGTTTACTTTAAAATTATTTATCATCGATTTGAATTTATATTTCTACATTTATCATCGAAATAGACCATACTAAATGATAAGCATTAAAAATAAACAAATTTAAATTTGATTTTATCAATTGAACACCAAATTAAGAATTCTTTTTTAGTTTATGCTTTAAAATGAACGTATAGAATAGAACTTTCGATAACCTTCTAGAGAAATAATTGGTAACAATAATTGGTACCAGTCTATCTGCAGCATCATCATCATTCCAGTTATAATTATTATCAAGGAAAAGGAAGTAAAAACACGCTTTTGATTTAAATATTTTGGGCCTATTTAAAACAAATCGATCTTCTTAAATCCTTTCATTTTATCAAATGAAGTACCAAAATAAGATCAAGTAGTAGTACTGGCGATCCGTTTGTAGTTCGATATCCGAATGGCTAACATACAGCGAAGCGAGTTTAATCGTAAATGGTGCTAACCACTTATGTATCACAAAAAGTTATATCGGTGTTGAATTTTTAAAGCTAAAAAGAAAATTAGTAGTGAATTACGAATTAATTGAAGGTATTCCTTATTTTTGAAGAGGGAAAATCTGAGAAAATTGCTGATAAAAAAGAAGTGATAAAAATAATGAACAAAAATTTGATGAACATTTTCCTTTTTTCGATGAAACTTCGAAAAAATCTTTTAAATTTGTTATATTTGATAGAAAAAAATTTAAAATATGTGGAATAGCTAAAAAGCTTTATTCATTTATCATTTATATAAAAAGTGTATATAAAAGAACAAATTAACAGAAAACCAGTTTTATTTATGGTCCAGTTCTTCGACACAATTCCTTTTTTACCTTTGCCGATGACCAAAAATCTAAGGCTTTTTTCTTTTTTGTTTTTTGTACTTGTATTCTCCTAAAAACTGGTTCATATTTGCTTTAAAAAAGAAAAAAAACTATAACCTGGAATTTGTAAGAATTACACTTAACAATTACAATTAAATGTTTAAAAATTCAACGATGTCTTAATCGTCCTACATATTCAGTATGTTTACTGATGATGGCCTTAAAAGATAGTTTTTAAAATAATGAATAAAGGAACGAAAAGAACTTGAGAAACTGAAAGGAACAGCTAAACCAATAAGATTCAACCCGTAAGTTTACGATCCTATATAACTTTTAGCCAAACCAGGAAGAGAGGAGGACGAGGACACTACAAAGAAATAAGTTCAGTCTATTCAGTAATATTGCATTAGTCAATAAATATATTTTGTGTTTTACATTCCTATCTGAAAAATTAGTGGAAGGCTTGCGGAAGAAGTTGAGGCTAAGAATAAGGCTAAGAAGAATAAGATTTGCTTACGAGATTTTATTTCAATCTAAACTACTGTTTTAACTTTAATTTGAATTTTAATGCAGCGAGAGATAATGGGTTGAAGTTGGGAAAGCCTATCGGGCTAATGTTCAATCCCACATTCGAAGTATTAAGTACTGGAACAATTTGCCATAAGGTGTTTTTGCCCCGTATACCCACAGTTTTAAAAGAAATCTCAACAAAATCAACAATAGCATATTATAAGCTCTGCTCCGTCTTAACTTGTGGAATGACGAGTATTACTGAGGATTAATACTTTTCCTTTTATCTTTAAATGACTCTATGGATTTAACTCTATTAATATGGCCAAATAAGCCAAAAATA